AAGTTAAAAGGACAGATACTGTTGCAAAGCATAGGCAAGTTTTCACATTATAATTACTAGTATGAAGTTAAGAGAACCCAGGATTAAAATATTTTAGGATTTTTTTTTTTTTTTTTTTTTTTTGTACTGGGGATTGAACCCAGGGTCTTGCACATGCTAGGCAAGCACTCTACCACTGAGCTATATCCCTAGCCCACTATTTTAGGATTTTTATTTTTAGATTTAAAATAATTTGAACTGGCAGCCATTAATTAATAATATAAGGTATTTTTAGGAGTGTTCTTTGAAGGAACCTTAAATTCTGTTGATATTTGCAATTCAGTTTTTAGATTATAAATTTTTCTTACAACTTTGAGTATAATTCACATAGCATGAAAAGCAGTCTGTTAAAGAGTATAATTCACTTCTTTTGTATGTATACGCAGATGTGTAACATTCACCATTGTCTAAGTTTCATCACTCAAGAAAAAAGCCCTGTGTATTAGCAGTCACACCCATTACTACTTCCTCCTCTCCTGCCCCTGGCCTCTCACAACCACTTTCTGTTTGTGTGGATTTACCTAAATGGAGTAACACAATATCGCCTTCATGACTTTCTCCTAGCATCATGTTTTGCAAGTTCATCCCTGTGGTAGCATGTAACAGTACTTATTCCTTTTTTTGAAAAAATTGTGATAAGATTCACATAAAACTTCCTCTTTTAGCTGGGCACAGTGGTGCACGCATGTAATCCCAGTGGATGGGGAGGCTGAGACAGGAGGATTGAGGTTCAAAGCCAGCCTCAGCACACCGAGGTGCTAAGCAACTCAGTGAGACCTTGTCTCTAAATAAAATACAAAAAAGGGCTGGGGATGTGGTTCAGTGGTTGAGTGCCCCTGCAATCCCCGGAACCCTCCCCACTACCCCTCAGGAAAAAAAAAAAAAACTTCCTCTTTTAAAGTGTAGAATTTAGTGATATCTAGAATATTCACAGAGTTGTACAACCATCACCAGTATCTCATTCCAGAAGATTTTCCTCACCCTACATACATTAGGAGTCATTTCCTATTCCTTATCCCTCCAGCCTGGGTACCTACTTACTATCTACTGTCTAATCTACTTTCTATCTCCAAAGAATTGTCTGTTCTGCATAGTTCACATAAACAGGCTCATACAATATGCCGTCTTCTGTGTTGGCCTTTTTTGACTTAGTAGAATTCAACAAGGTTCATCCAAGTTGTAGCATGAATTGACACTTCATTACTTTTTTTTTTTTTTTTGGTATTGGGGATTGAACTCAGGGGCACTCAACCACTGAGCCATATCCCCAGCCCTTTTTTGTGTTTTATTTAGAGACAGGGTCTCACTAAGTTGCTGAGGCTGGTTTTGAATTTGCAATCCTCCTGCCTCAGCCTCCCAAGTTACTGGGATTACAGGTACCAGTCTACTTCATTACCTTTATGACTGAATAATATTTCATTGTTTGGATAGGCCACATTTTGTTTTTCCAACAATTGAGGGACATTTGGTTGTTACTGCTTTTTGACTCCTATGAGTAAGTTGCTATGGACATGGGTGTTCAAGATGAAAACATCTTAAATTCCTTTGAGTGTATACCTGGGCAAGTAATTGCAGAGGCATGTGATTACTCTATTATAATTGTTTGATGAACTGCCAATCTGTTTTCCATAGTACCTACACCATTTTCCACTCTTACCAGCAATATTTGAGGGTTCCAGTTTCTCCATATTCTTGACAATTGTTATTGTCCCCCACCCTTCTTTTTTTTTGGTACTGGGGATTGAACGCAGGGGTACTTTACCAATGAGCTATAGCCCCAAACCTTTGTATTTTTTGAGATAGTCTTTCCAAGTTGCTTAGGGTCTCACTGAGTTCTTGAGATTGGCCTGAAACTTGTGATCCTCCTGCCTCAGCCTCCCATGTAGCTTGGATTTCAAGCATGTGCTACCACGCCCAGCTTGTTGTCTGTCTGCATATTACAGCCATCCTGTGGTTTGAAGTGGTATCTAATTGTGGTTTGACTTATGTTTCCCTGATGGTGAGTGATGCTGAGCATCTTTTCATGTGCTTATTGCTCTTTGTTTATCTTCTTTGGAAAATTGTGTATTTAGATTCTTTGCGCTCTCTTCCCCTTTTTTTCGTCCTGAAGATTGAGCCCAGGGCCTCTACCATTGTGTTCTACCATTGAACTACATCATCATATTGCCTGTTTTTTTTTTTCAGACTTTTTTTTAATTGTAGGATACCTTTATTTATTCATATGTGGTGCTGAGGATCAAACCCAGTGCCTCACATGTGCCAGGCGAGTGCTCTACCACTGAGCCACAGCCACAACCTCCCCCCTTTTCCTGTTTTTAATTGGGTTGTCTCTCTTTTTATGATTGAATTTCCAGAGTTCTTTATGTATTCTAGAAATAATCCCCTTAATAGACATGTGATTTACAAGTATCTCTCTTTCTCTGGGTTGTCTCTCACCGTCTTGACGGTGTCCTTTGAAGTCTGAAAAATTTTAATTTCAGTGAAGTCCGGTTTACCTGTCTTTTTTGTTGTTGTTGTTGTTGCTTGTTTGTTTGGTATCATATTGAAGAATACATTGCCAGATACTAGGTCATGAAGATGTACACCTGTGTTTTCTTCTAAGAGTTTATAATTTTAATTTTTTGATCTATTTTAATTTTGGTATGTGGTATGAAGTAGGGGATCCAGCTGTACCAGCATCATTTAATTTTTAAAAATACATTGTCCTTAACTTAGTTTATTTCTTGATTTTTAGAATCATTAAGATTACTTATTTTATACACACCAATATAAAGAAGATAGCTTTGGAATAATATCATTATACTAAACAATACAACTACTGAGAGGAAGTTTCATATTTCTTTGACTTTTTTGTCCTTAGTTTTTTTTAAAATATATAGATATTGATGGACCTTTATTTTATTCATCTATTTTTATGAGGTGCTGAGAATTGAACCTAGTGCCTCACACATAGAAGGCAAGCGCTCTACCTCTGAGCCACAGCCCTGGCCCTCCTTAGGTTTTTTTTTTTAATGGGATGCATTTTTTCACGATACTCTTCTAAAGTCTCATAAATTAATTAAGTTCTTTTTCTGGGTGTCTTCACTAGCAAATGAATATTCAGGTAGGCTCATTCGCTTCGGTTTTTCTGTTTAACAGCTTTCAATTCTGTCTGTCCTTTCAAGGTGCCTTTTTGGCAAATGCCTACATACATCAAGTTGCTCTCCCTGTTTCCTTGGAGCTCTGGTGCCTGGCTGCACAGTATCTCATGTGAAATCCTGTCGCTGGGCATTTGGGAAGTTCTTAATCTTCTGCAGTCACACTCAGTGCCACAGTGAATTACTTGGTATATTCTTGTGCAGGCTTTCTGGAGCTTAGATTCCTAGAAGCAGGATAGCTGGGACGGGGTAAGGAATTTTTCTTATTTTATCAGCTGTTGACAAATTTTTCCCCAGGGGAATTGTCCTGTTTCCCATTTCTGCTCGCAATGTACGAGAGTCCTTTCCCCTAGAGTATGTTGTCAGACTTTTGGAATTTTGCCAACTGGTTGGTGAAAAATGAGGTCTCAATGTAGTTTTAATTTTCACTTTTTTAAAAACTAGTGGGGATGAACATCTTTTTATGTGTTTAGCACCGGGTATCTATTTTTTAGTGAATTGTTTATGTCCATTGCCCACTTTCCCCTAATGAACTGTCGATATTCTTCCTCTGTTTCTGGGAACTCTTTATATATTAAAGACATTAGCTCTTGTACTATGGATTCAGATATTTTTTCCCTGTATGTCATTTGCCTATGTTTGTGGTATGTTGCGCTAGCTCTGCTAAAACTTTTTTTTTTAACAATTTTTTTCTTTTCTTTTTAAAATTTTTTTAGTTGTACCAGCATCATTTAATTTTTAAAAATACATTGTCCTTAACTTAGTTTATTTCTTGATTTTTAGAATCATTAAGATTACTTATTTTATACACACCAATATAAAGAAGATAGCTTTGGAATAATATCATTATACTAAACAATACAACTACTGAGAGGAAGTTTCATATTTCTTTGACTTTTTTGTCCTTAGTTTTTTTTAAATATATAGATATTGATGGACCTTTATTTTATTCATCTATTTTTATGAGGTGCTGAGAATAAAATATATATATTTATAAATAAAATATATATATTTATAAATAAAATATATATATTTAAATATATATATTTATAAATAAAATATATATATTTAAATATATAGATATTGATGGACCTTTATTTTATTCATCTATTTTTATGAGGTGCTTTATTTATTTAATATTTATTTTTATATGGTGCTGAGGATTGAACCCAGTGCCTCACATGTGCTAGGCCAATGTTCTTCCACTGACCCACAACCCCAGCCCTACTTTTTCATGTAGTCTAATTTATCAATTTTTTCTAACATCACTTCTGGATTTTGAGTCTTAGTTAAGAAGGCCTTCTCTACTTCAAGGTAATAAAAGGATTTCACCCATTTTTTTTATTCTAGTACTTGAATGGTTTTCTTGTTAACATTTAATCTCTGACCCTTTTGGAGCTTTATCGTATTGTAAGCCTCTTGCCAAATTACTTTTCAGGTGAGTTTAAAATTTCTGTTAATTGGAATAAGAACTCCCATTTCTCACATTTTTTAGTGTTCTATCATAATTTTATACTGTACTGACAGTAATAGTGCCGAGTGTTCTGCTTGTGTTTGGTTTTCTCATCTGTAAGATGGGAACATTTGCCCCTGTTGTTTCCAGTCAAAATAAAAAATGGTTGAACGTAGCTAAAAAGAAGTGAGGTTTTATATAATGCGTTATTTTATTTTATGTTGCCTTTTATGTGGTGTGATAATTACAGGCACCCACTGAGTACTTAAGCGATTATAAGCAAAGTACTTAGATATCAAATTTTATTTGGGAGCAGCTTTTCTTCTCCTTAACGTCTTGCTAATTGCTGATAATGCTGTGTGTCTCCCCAGTTTGTGGAAGACTATGAGCCCACCAAGGCTGACAGTTACAGGAAGAAGGTGGTCCTGGATGGGGAGGAGGTGCAGATCGACATCCTGGACACTGCTGGGCAGGAGGACTACGCAGCCATCCGTGACAACTACTTCCGCAGTGGGGAAGGGTTTCTGCTGGTGTTCTCCATCACCGAACGCGAGGCCTTCACGGCCACGGCTGAGTTCAGGTGGGTTTGAGATGAAACAGCCCTTCCCCTCCCGCGCCTCACACTTAGAAGCAGCCTGGGGCTTGGCCGAGGAGGAGCAGGTCGAGCTTGTTACTAGGGAGCACTCTGCCCAAAGAGTTTTCTAGGATTTTCTGAATCTCCACACACTGGAGGCCACCGTCGTGATCTCGCTAGGTTTTCCTGTTCTAGATTTCTGCAAGTGAAGTATCTGAAGGATCTTGTCTCTGACTGAGGATGAAGCTACTCCATATCCTCAAGAATGTAACTTTGTTCATATAAATTCTGAGACAGTGATAAGAGTTAGCTGTCTTTGATTTTTAAAATAATTTTACTTATAAATGACAATTTTGATCTATTTTGGTGTTTATGAGACATGGGGAGACAATGAATAGTGTGAGTCAGAGTGACCATTTGTTGCCACGTTGAGGGAAGGACCTGGCTGGCGCCAGACTGTGATTAGACCTGGTCTGAATGAATCTTCCATGCCACTTACCAGCTTTTGATCACGGGCAAATTTACTGAGCATCCAGAAATCATTTCTTTCTCTAAAAATGCAGGTGTTAGTGGAGAAATGAAATGAAACTGTGCATAAGACTGAATTCCATTCTGGTAGGAACTGCAAAATCTGTCATGTCCCTGGCCCCCTCACAGTGCATTCATATGACATGTGGCCTATATGGTGGGATATTTACTGCTGCAACTCATTTTGGAATGTTGCATTTAAAGAAGCCTTAAGTGTGTTTATTATGAAGGAATAAGCGTTTGGGCATCGTTCCTGTGTTCTATGACTTTCTCTTTACATATACCCTCTCCATTTCTTTTATACAATTGCATATTTTCACATACCATACTTGTAAACGTAACTGTATTAGTGAGCTTTCTGTTGCTGTGACATAGTGCCTGAGGTTTAAAAAAAAAAAAGGAAAGAGAAAACATTGATTTTGATGGTTTATTTCATGGTTTCAGAGGTTTCAGTCCATGGTTGCTTGGCTCTGTTGCTTTTGGGCTTCTGTAAGGCAGTACATTGTGGTGGAAATTCATGGCAAAGGGAAGCTGTTTGTCTCATCCCAGCCAGGAAGCAAAGAGAGAGAGAAGGGACTGTGGACCCAGAATGCTCCCAGTGACCTAATTTTTCCCCATGAGGCTCCTCCTCCTAAGATTCTACCACCTCCTGATGGCCCAGGCTGGGGGGACAGCCTTTTAGCATGTGGGCCTTGGGGGACAGCGAAGATGCAAACCATAATAGTATCCAGATGGTATTTGAAGAACCATAACCACAGTCTAACAGGAAAGAAGTAAAGAGATAAGAAAATAAAACCCAAGTAATTCTTTCTTTAACAAGTTCTGATTAGAAAGTAAGATAATCAACCAAAGGTGAAATGAGACCACTAAACATCAGCCTGAGATTTGAAACAAAGCATCAGTGAGCCGGGGGGCCTTGAGGGGTAATCTCAGGTGGTCCAATAGAGAGAGTGGAAGGGAATGAGGTAGGACTTCGATTGTACAGAGTCGGATGTCCCAGGGCTCTGAAACTGTGTGTGTGTGTGTGTGTGTGTGTGTGTGTGTGTGTGTGGTAGTAACTGGTTAGAAGACGGGGACTCGTTCTGAGAAGTCTTATTAATTCTTAGACTTGTCAGACATACTTAGAGGTTTCAATATTGGATCACAGCCCATGCATTCATAATTGTGTTTGCCTCTACGTAGGCCTGTTTCCGTGCTCTCTTGAGGATGAAACAGGACAGACATACACACTGCCTTATTTTCTTCCCTGTGCTGAGCCTTTGATTTCCCATTGCTTCATAGTTCACCAAGAAGGGACGTGCTGAACGGTAGCAGCATCATCTCCACAGGACAGTTTCCCTTTGTCTTGTTCCCTTTGGGTCACCACATGCAGGGAACATTCATGTGTCCTCACAGAGTTATAGCAAGCCTTGCTTCACTGTGGAGGGGGCTTTGGTGATTATGTGGGAAGAGGGGTTCTTAGAAGAAAAAGGATAGATGAATCCCTGAAACAAAAAAGAAAGGGGAAGCAGTTCTCCTGACTTGAGCTCTGGACATTGAGATACACACCTCGGAGCTCTCTGGGTTTCTCAAGCCTTCTGGAAACAGAGGAAGGGAGGTAAATCTTCCGAGCCCTGGTGCTAACTTCAGTCACTGAGGTCTGTTAGCAGTTTTAAACCATAGCATCTCTGTATTCATCTTCTAAATGGAAAGACCCCAGCATAAAATGAAACATTCTTCCCTGAAACTTCTTGGAGAGTATCCTAAAGCTGAGAGAGAGAGTGGGTCATAAGATTCCAGAACTTGATGCTCCCATTCCTGGAGCAGTAGGTTGATTAATCAGGTGTTTATGCCCCTGCAGAACCAATAAGCCAGGAGTGTATCAGTTTTTTACTCTTATAGTTTATATCTGTTGCAACTTCTAAGTGTATTATGTTCTTTTTTTATTTTTATTTTTTGTGTGTGGGGGGCAGGTAACCAGGGATTGAACCCAGGGGCGCTCCACCACTGAGCCCATCCCCAGCCCTTTTTATATTTTATTTAGAGACAGGATCTCCCTGAGTTGCTGAGAGCCTCACTAAGTTGCTGAGGCTGGCTTTGCGCTCACAGTCCTCCTGCCTCAGACCCTTGAGCCACTGGGATTACAGGTGTGCGTCACTCCCGGTGCATCAACGTCCTTGACTCCTGTTCAAATGTAGGTTATAACAAAGCGGCTTGGAGGTAATTTTCAACATCAACTTTTCCTTCTTTTCATTTATCTTAAAATATTTGATATCTGGTACTTAAATTGCCTGTTTTCAGGAATATTTTTAGTATTGTGAAATGTTGTGCTGTCATATAAATATCAGTACAGAGCTCCACAAAATTGTTTCAGAGGGGACTCCTTTTGGAATGTGGAAGTCGAAGTGTCTCTGCTGGTGCTGGGAGTGTGGCTCTGTGGTAGAGCACTTCCCCCAGCATGCATGAGGCCTTGGGTTCCATCCCCAGCACCCAGAAAGTGTCCTATTGAAACAAAATAGTGGGAGTAGAATACTTAATTTTTTAGAAATACTTGGTTTTGATTACTACTTTTAGGTAGGTGATTAATTTTAGTATAGGTAAAATTGAATGCGCTACATATTTTTTTTTTTAGAGAGGACATTTTGAAATACTTTTCCCTGAGCTTTAGAGTACTTTATTTTTGTTTTTTTACTACAGTGGAAAAATGATGTTCATTGGAATATGACTACTGCCTAATGTAACTATCTCCATTCTGTTGCCTGGAACATTTGCTGTGTCTAAGTGGAAACTGTGGGTGGGGTGAACATACAGTTGGTCCTCCATGTCTGTGGGTTCCACATTCTCGGATCAAAAATGTTAGTTAGGGGGCCGGGGTTGTGGCTCAGCGGTAGAGTACTTGTCTGGCACATGTGATGCCCTGGATTCGATTCTCAGCACCACATAAAAATAAATAAATAAAATAAAAGTATTATGTCCAACTATACCCAAAAAATAAATGTTAAAAAAAAAATGTTAGTTAGGCCTGTGATGGTTGTTCCTGTCCTGAACATGTGCAGGCTTTTTTTCCTTATTTCTCTTCCCTGAACACTAGAGTCTAATGTTTATTTTGCATAATATTTATGCTGTATTAGGTTTTAAAAGTAATCGGGACAGAATTTAAAGCATATGGGAGGATATGCGTCAGTTATATGCAAATACCGTACCATTTGATATAAGGCATTTGAGCCTCTGTAGAGTTGGGTATCCTCAGAGTGTCCTGGAATGAATGCCCCTTGGGTACTGAGGGACAGCCATGTGCACACACAGATCTAATTGAAACAGAAATTTCACAAGCCAGTACTTATTATTTAAGATTCCCTTGGATGTTTCTGTTCTGCTATCTCCTATAATCTATTGCACTAAGAAAAAAATTTCTGGTTGTTACTCCCTAAATTGATTTCAAGATCCTCTCAGAGGCTGCTGCCTCCCATATGGAAAACACTAGACCTCATAGTTCTTACAGTCACAAGTCACGTACCCTTTCTGCCCCACCATGGGAATTATTATGGATTTTGTGAGATACTTCTTTTAGCTTGCTTTTATCCCACAGATTCACAGACTTTTCTCCCCCCTCCCCTTCCTTCCCCTCCCTTCCCTTTCCTTCCTTTGTGATTACAAGTATTCACTGGGGACCCTGTAGGAATGCACGATCCTGGCCTCCTATCCAGACATCTACTTCTAGGACTATTGGGCCCCTCAACCTGCACTGTTGTAAAGAGTGCCCTGGGGGCTTCTGATGCAGACCAACTAGGAACCAGACTTGGAAACACTCCCTGGCTGGTGGCTGCCCCCCCACCGCAGAGTGCTTCCTTGGCACATGCCCTAAATGGAGCAGTTCTTCTGCCTTAGGATGGCCTCTGTTGGGATGGTTGATGAACTCGGTTCTTACTGTGGTTTTTTTGGATGCTGTACTTTTGTTGTAACAACAGGGAACAGATCCTCCGCGTTAAGGCTGAAGAAGATAAAATCCCATTGCTTGTCGTGGGAAACAAGTCTGACTTGGAGGAGCGGAGGCAAGTGCCCATTGAGGAGGCCAGGAGTAAAGCGGAGGAGTGGGGCGTGCAGTACGTGGAGACATCAGCCAAAACGCGGGCCAACGTGGACAAGGTAGGCCCGTGCCCTGGGTGTTTTCTTGGAAACAGGCTTGGGCCTTGACCAAACAGATACCTCACTTGGTTTTGAGGCAACCATTTATGGAAGCTGGACAAGGACTCTGGTTCTCCAGACATCCATGCCATGATAGTGAGAGGCACTGGGCAGGTCTGACCCTGTATCCAAAGCAGCCCATGGAGACCTTTCTCCTCGCCATGAGGATTCCTTAGAGGATGCTCATCATGGGCCGTCTCTGGAGGTCTGGTGAGATGATGTGTGGATTGTGAAGACAGCGAGGACAGACTCTGCTTCCCTGTGCTCCCCGCCCAACAGCCTGTGGCCTGGGGAACAGGGCTGGCTGTGTCAGGCTGCCGCTTAGTTAGCCTTGAAAGAAGCATGATGAGTCTTGCCTCTGCTCCTGTTGAGTTGCTGGTCTGTTCTTTTCACCTTCTGTCCGTGCACAGAGCCGAGGTTCCTCCTGTAGATGGGTCTCTCAGTAGGATCTGCCCTCAGGATCCAGCTCTAGGTCCCTTTTCTCTCTTACCCCATCCCCAGTGTTCTCTCACTTCCGCTTCCTGAGGCTCACAGAAGAGTTGCCATGGCAAGGAGGAATGCTGATTTCTACTGTTAGCTTTTTTTTCTTTTTTCCTTTTAAGTTAAGGTGGTTGCTGCACAGCGAAAATAAGCAAGCATGAAGCTGAGGCTGTCCCTGCTGCTTTGCCCTGTCCCTTGCTCTCCTTCGTGACCCCTATTCCTGTGGCACCTGAGCGCTATGTCTGTTGTGCAGCGAGCAGCAGCCAGCCCCCCACACCCCTCCTTCGGGGGTCCCCAGGGTTTCTCACCTGATGAGGGGGAGATTTTAACCAGGCTTTCCTGGCGCTTGAGGAGATGTCAGAGGGACACTGGAATTTGGATGCCAACTCCGAGGGCCTATATTCGGAGCCCCAGGTGCCGTGTGCAACAAGGGTCTGCAGTTGTCGGCTGCAATGAGAGGTGTATTCAGTTGTCGCCTGCTTTTCTTTATATTGTTATCTCAATTCTTACATTGATTCTGATGCTACTCAAAATCTCCCTCAGATGATTTCCTGACTGAGGAACATGCAGGAAGTGCACACCTGTGCTTCATTTAAAAAAAAAAATCAGGATCACTTCACAAAACTGCTGATGTGTGTTTTTTGGTGGGACAGGGAGCAGGGTGGGAGGTGGCTGTCACACTGCTGTCATTTCCCCCTACGGTTGAACCAGCTTGACCTGCCAAACAGGTACCAGCAAACACTTATAACTGGCAGCATTGTAGTCACTGGAAAACACTTTAGATAAGATCAGCAGTGAACGGCTTTGTCATCATTTTAGCTGGATGCGCTCCACGCCCCTCCTCTTGCCTTTTGCTGTTTGGATAAAAAGAAAAACCTGTGACATTGGGAGTTGTTCACTGTTGCTTTTATGGGCCGTGTGTTTCCTGAGAGGCTGTCAAAAACGGGTGCTTAGGTCAGCCTGATCCAGTTTGAGGTTCCCTCTTCTGTGCCTGGGGCTTGAGTAAATGTGCACGTGGAGTCCCACACTCCAGAGAGTGAAGAGGAAGACATGGCCATGAAAATAAGATGGGAGCCTGTTGTGTCATACACCTGTGCAAAAATAAAGCCCACGTTCCCTGTCACACTCAGTCTGTGAGGTCTCAGGGGTCTCTGTGGGAGGCATACATTGGCCACTGGCTCTGCTTGGTCCTCTGGCACAATTGCAGAGGACAGAATCCAAACTACTGTGACACATGATCATCCCCAGCCAACTAAAGGTCTAACCCTAACCCTAACCCTAACCCTAACCCTAACCCTAACCCTAACCCTAACCCTAACCCTAACCCTAACCCTAACCCTAAAGGGTCTAGTGTCTCCAGTTCTTGATGAAGTTCCTCTTAGCTAACGTCACAAGGCCCTGAGCGTTGAGTTGGGGTGTACTTGGGGAAGAATAGGGCAAGACACTGCTGGGGACCGGCTGGGAAACTGTCGCACAGATGCTCTTCCGGCCTGCGTAGGTCCCCACGGGGTGAAGAGAGACAAGTATACAGAGCAGCGCCATCTTTTCTGGTGGTTGAAATGCTAGAAAGTCTGATTCCCACTGTCGCCCTCAGGTTTATGAACTTCACACATGTAACAGATCTGTTCTCTGCAGGAACGCTTTAACCTTCATTATACTTACTGTAGAAAAGAGTTTATCCCTTGAGAGTAGCTTTCAGGTTATGGAAGTGACAGTACGATTCTGTCCTGCGCTTGGCCAGTTGTGTGGCGGAGCACAGATGTCTGCTTTACGGGATCAGGATACATTTCTGAGGTCAGGTGTCCTTATTTCCTCTAGACCCTTGTTTCTGAATGCATGTGGTTTTGAAGCTGAAGTTTGGGGACCTGGAGGCTGTAGCAGTGAACTAGGTATCCTGCTTAGTTGTTTCATTAAAATCATTAAATGACTTTTCACCCTTTCTCCCCACTCCCAGGTGTTCTTTGACTTAATGAGAGAAATCAGAGCAAAGAAGATGTCAGAAAACAAAGACAAGAATGGCAAGAAAAGCAGCAAGAACAAGAAAAGTTTTAAAGAAAGATGCTGCCTGCTGTGAAGGCCGGATGGTGGGGGAGACCCCTGCCGCCAGAGACACAGGGCTGGGGCGCACGGGAGGCTGTAGCTGGCTTCCGGTGTGCTTCCTGCTCTCCCAACCTTATTCACCTGTACTTCTTTAAATGGGGACAAATAGTCATGAATTGGTGGCTGGAAGAAGAAACAATCCCTTCTCCATGCAAAGGAGTGGCTGCCTCGCCAGGACTGTGGCGTTCTGTCCTTCCCGAGTCCTGCCCCTTCCTCCAGGGCTGAGCTAGGATATAGCTCTAGGTAGGAAACAGTCAAGTGTTCATTAAAAAGAAAGAGTATTGTCACAGCATCTTATCCCCCACCCAGGTTTTTAACATTACCCTCTTTTGTTTTGAAATAAAATGTTTTATTTTACTAGGCTTCGGAAGGAGGGTGCTGAGGTAGACCCCCCAACCCTTATCACTGTAACAATAGTACTCAGAAAATCCATTGGGCTCTCATGAAACTGAGATTCTAAGGTTTTTAAAGACAAGTTTCTAGGAGATATCCTGCGGATCTGAAGCATAGTTAGAAAAGTGAACTTGAATTGGGCTGGAGAGGTCAACATCATGTTTACAAATCCTCCTCACATATGAAAAATAAAAGTAGCAGGTTGTTTTCTTCATGTTTAAATTCTGGCCATTTATAGTCTACATTGTCTATTTTTCTCCTGCTCTGTCCCGATTGTTGTGTGGGAACTTTTCTCTTTTTTTGTAGTCTAGGTGAAGACTCAAGAGCAGTACTTTATGATGACACGCCTTTCTGATGGGATTTCTTGGACGTCTTCTCCATTTGCAGGCCCCTGTTCTGCACTATAATCACGTCCTCGTTGTCTTGATCACCTTCACTCTGCCTGCAAAGGTCGAGCAAGGCTTCTCTCTCTCTCTTGTCAGTGTCACAAAAATTCTTCTGGAAAATGTGATGAGTTAAAATCGTATTCTAAAATCATGAAGCCAGAGCCTTCGCTACCTCTCAGAGAATTGCTCTGTGATTCTAACTTGAGTTAGAACAACTGGGGAGAGAAGAGAAGCCACTGCCTGGTCACCTCTGAGAAGTGACTGCTGTTTCTAATGTAATTCTTGTCTGAAATAGTCAGGTAGGCAGTTAGAAAAAGATTTTTATTGATGAGCTGTTGTTAATCTTTCTTACTGTTTCAGTATTCTAAATTCAGCAATCAGAAGAATTCTCACCAGGAGAGGAGGACTGTGGTTAAAGCCTGGTATTTTGTGGGTTTCCCCCCATTTTTCAGAAGTGAACATTTCATGTTTTGGTTGCCAAAAGTGAATTGGAGTGGGGAGAGAGTGGGAGCCTTTGAAATTTATATTATTACAGAGATTCGGGAAATTATGATCTGACCCCTGCAAATCGGTCTTGTATCACCTCCCAAAGAATCGTGGGCTTTTTTTGAATTAAAAAAAAAAGCAAACAAACTTTTTCAAGATTTTGGTCTTTTGATTTTATTGTCCTGTCATACATGTGAAATGTAAGTAGTAAGGGAATTGATGGTAAGTTTTTCATTATTGTTCTTATCAGATGATCTGTAATAACAGACAAGCTTTATTTCAATCAGTCCTTTGAATTAGGAAATACAATTATAAACAGTGATTTTAACTTCATCCTTTCCTTTGGGAGAAATCACTGCTCTTCTTAAAATTTAAAAAGTGAGAGGTAATTATATTCTCAAATTTCTGAAACCTTTATATTTTCATCCTTGTTTGCCAACCTATTTGTCAAGAATAGGTACATTTAGAATATGTATAGATGAAGTAATGATAGTGTAAATTTTAAAAGAAGGCATGAATTATTTCATGCTAGAGAAATCATATTTGGTATGCTAGTATATTTCTACAATTATATTCAATTGGATAGCGGTCAGAAATGGATGTTCCTAACAAAATAATTTATTATACACATGAGATTCTGTGCCATAGGAAAATAAAGAAGCAATGGCGTATATAAATTTGAAACAGTTACTGAATGATTAGATACTATACCCTTAGCTTAGCAGTAAAGTGTTCATTCTAGAAATACTCAAGCATCTCCCGAGGGTCAGGCTGGGATGTGGTGATGAACAAGACAGGCCAAACTTCCAGGAGCTTGTTTGAGTGAGGAAACAAATTGAAAATCTTAGCAAAAAGGCTCTTAAAACTGGGTAATGTGATAGAGCTGTCTCTAGGAGGTAGAGCTTAGATGTGGTGTTTGACAGGTTTCCCCAAGGGAGTGACACTTAAGGTGGGACCTCATGACCTGAAGGAGAAGCCATGTTAGTGGGGTGAACAGGAGCTTTCTAGACTTGGGGACAGCTATCCAAAGGCCCTGAGGTGTTCAGGAGCAACCAAAACACCAGTGTATGGCTGGAGTGTATTGAGGGAGGAGTAGAATGATAGAAAAATACAGTTAACTGTTCATGATCCCATAAAGTAACTTGGGGAAAATACCTGTAAGTGTCCTATTTGATCAAATCTAAGGACATTAATAACTGCAGGACAACATCATAATTTATATACCACTAAAAACCCCGATGCCAATTAATGAAACCATCCTGATTTTACCCTCATAAAAGTGCAGAAGGAAATGTGTATTTTATATAAGGTGAGTAATGGCATATAGATTTAAATCAAATGGCAGTAAATGAAATATAAAATTCATCTCCATTGTCCTGGAAGCTACATTTTATTAAAGTACCGTAAAAAACTTTCACAGTCCTTTAGCAAGTCTGAGAGTGCATTACTTGTGGTCTTTATTTCACTTCCTAGTTTGGCTTGGAGTAGGATTCTGGGTTCATAGAAGCTTCACAGTGCATAAAAATTGATATTGCAAAATATTATATATTAATATTAGAATAAACTTCATTTTGATATTTTTAAAAATTTAATCAACTTGTGCTTCAACATTCTAACCGTTTCTGCCCCCAGATCATTCACTGTGCACTCCTGCATTTCTGAATAATATCCTTGTGCCACTATTCGTTGATTTTCAATCTCTGACATTTCCAGTGAGGACTGGACTCAGGAGATGAGGATTCAGCTTCCTGCATTTCTGTAACCTACTCCATCCCGCTGTCAACGGTAATATCACTGTTTTAATTCCTTTCTCAGTGGCTGCCATATCTTTTTAAACTATATATTTAAACTTCTGTTTATCATCCTTTTTTAGTGGGGTACCAGGGATTGAACCCAGGGACACTTGACCACTGAGCCACATCTCCAGCCCTATTTTGTATTTTATTTAGAGACAGGGTCTCACTGAGTTGCTTAGGGCCTCACTTTTGCTGAGGCTGTGATCCTCCTTTCTCAGCCTCCTGAGCCTCTGGGATTATAGGCATGTGCCACTGCACCCAGCTCTGAATCTCTGTTGAATTATCAATCAGCTCTCAGCGTATGTTTCCCTCCCAGCTATGGAAGGTGAGCAGTTAACGCTCCTAACTTCGCCCTTGACCTTCTCGGCAGCTCCTCCTTCTCTTACACCTTTGCTTTTCCATTATCAAGGTGACTGACAGGTGTATTCCATCCAAAATCCAGACTTTCGTGCTTCATTCTACAAGTTGAATACCAGTCCACAGTGATTTGATTATTCTGACTCAGATAAATAGGGCCATTGCCGAGGCAAGCCTATGTGGCAGTTGCATTTCCTTTACAGTTCAGGGCCACCACTCTAAGGACAGTGTTCCTAGTGTCCAGTGAAGGGGACTCTTTCATCGATTGCTGGAATCATGCCATAATTTGGCTTGCTTCATCTCTGGACTGTTTCATGTGCATTATGCCCCTGCCCCGACCCTCCACCTTGCCTGAAGTTTGAGTGATTTTCTTTTTGAGTGACTACATACTCTTTCATGCCTAATGCCAGTTTCTTTTGGTTCCTTTCCATTACTTGGAATCTGCTTCCATGCTCATTTTTCTTAGAGCTTGTTGATTGACCAATTGATGTAATTTGTTTACTGATTGTTTTCTAGGTACTGAGAGTTGCTTTTATTGAACACTTGGGTTAATTCCACACTTTCCTGGCCCTCCCATTTCTTTTATTGGTTTTCACCCTCATTTTGCTGGAATACATTCTCAGAAAGAATGTGCTGGAGGTAAACTTTCACAGTCCCCTAGCACCTCTGAGAGTGTGATTACTTTGGGCCTTTATTTGATTGCTAGTTTGGCTTAGAATAGAATTCTGGATTCAAACTCATTTACCCTCCAAACTTGAAACGCTTAGCTCCAGCGTCTTCAAACATCCGTTGCTGCCAATCAGTCTGGTGCCATCCCAACCGTTGTCTCCTTGTGTAGGTTCTCTGCCTTTCCCCTCTGTCTCAGCTTTCCACCCCCATGACAAAACAGCTGAACTAACTTAGGAGGAGGAAGGGTTTGTTCTGGGTCTTTTGCATGTGTCATTCTGTGGTTGGTTGGCTCTTGTGCTTTGGGGCCTATGGCAAAGCAGCATGCCATGCAGAAGTGTGGGTACAGGAAGCTACCTCATGGTAGCTGGAAGGCCGAGAGAAAGGAAGAGGCCAGTCAATATCTCCTTCTAAGTCCCACCCCCATTGACCTAACTTCCTCCCATGAGTCTCCACCCCTTAAAGGATCCATCACCTCCCAGTAGTGCCACAGGCTGGCAACTAAGCCTTTAGCATATGAGCCTAGTGTGCGGAGGGCACTCATTGAGACCAAAACACCCTGTCTGTCCACAGTCACTGAGACCCTCCTTGTCCATAGTGTCTGAAAGGACATGGTGGTGGAGCTTAGCGTGGGCCTTGGTGATCCATCCTGCTCAGAGATGGCTCCTATCTCTTTGGCTCTAGAAAGTGTATTTTTAACATTGAGTTGTGGGGAGGCTAACATTGGAGCTCAGTCTTCTGTTTTGTTCTGATTTCATTGTCACAAATACTAGTATTTCCTCCTTTGCCAGATCAATGTGGACTCAAAGTTAAGAGGGAATCCACTGATTTGGAGTTCTGTTTTCAGAACTCTAGTTATCAGATTTTGGAGCTCCTAGGGTCAAATGTGCCTCATCGTGTCCTGTATTTTGCATCTTTATTTTCTTTCCCGTTCATCTTCCCTCCCTGTCTCTTCCATCGCCTGGGATTTGCCAAGCGCTAGTCTAGGTTCCCAAGATACAGCAGTAAACAAAGCAGATAAACCCTTGGCCCTCCTGAGCCTGCTCTAGGGGCCTCTGCTTCATCTTCTCATCTGGACATTCATGTGGGTGAACAAAAGCTTTCTTTGCCTATAACTGTTCCTCTTTCCCATAGCCACTGTTCCTGGCCTCGTGGATTCACTGTCTTGACTTTCTAAGGACGTGAGAGCTTTTGGAAGCTGTATTCTCATAGTTGCCTTTGTTTGTTTTTTATTCAGATTTTTCTCTTTGTTCATTTTTGAAACTTTTGATCCCTGGTTGTCAGCCATATTCTTAGGAGGGAAGAGGAAGTCGTCTAAGAGCTCCATGGAGCTGAGTGGGGCCTGTGGGAGGGCAGGCTGCACTTGGAGGGGAATGCCTGGAGACCCAGTCATGGTGCTGGGGACCCCTGATGCCTACTCCCTGGGCACCTACTGCCAGGCTCTCTCCAGACACTTTATCTATAAAGCCAAAAGCTCTGGTGGCAGACACAGTTGCCTGCAGGGTGGGGCAGACTGTTTCCTAGACAGACCCCTCATTATCTCTGGGTCAGCTCTGGCCACAGCCTTGCTTTTCCACCTGCCAATTTAGCTAGACTGGCCCTGTTAGGCAGCTCAGTTTGTCTGCACAGCCCCTCCTATTGTATCTACCAGCTCTTCCAGATTTTAGCATCGTTCATCAAACTCGCCCACTAGCTGGTGGCCCTCTCCCATGCTTTTGGCCCTTTAGACTTTTCCTTGATGGTTACTCCAGCACAGGTTTTAGGGGAGGCTAACATTGGAGCTCAGTCTTCTGTTTTGTTCTGATTTCATTGTCACAAATACCAGTATTTCCTCCTTTGCCAGATCAATGTGGACTCAAAGTTAAGAGGGAATCCATTGATTTGGCCCCATGCAGGGTCATTTTGAAGCTGGGGCACATGGCAATCCCTGGTGTGCAGGAATGTGTGCCTCGCCATTTGAGGTCAGATCTGGGTCTGGCTAGTTGTTTTCTGATGTCCTCTTTTCTTTTGGTCCCAGGGATTAAACCCAGGGGTGCTTAACCACGGAGCCACATTCCCAGCCCTTTTTATTTGTTTGTTTGTTTATTTGTTTGAGATGGGCTCTCACTAAATTGCTTAGGGCCTTGGTAAGTTGCTGAGGCTGCCTTTGAACTTGAGACCCTCCTGCCTTAACCTCCCAAGGCTACTAAGATTATAGGTGTGTCTGATGTCATCTTTCAAAAGAAGGAATCCTAGGTTCTCCCTAAGCCTGAGTTAATTTCATTCATACTTTTTTCTTTCCCTGTTAGGTGATGGGTTTATTATTTGCTGTGTGAAGTAATAATTCCT